TTCATTAACTTTTCTGAAGGTAATTCAGGCAAATCCATAAGAATCTTTTGTGCTCTCAACTGAGCTTCTTTTGATATATTTATATTCTTATTTGATGCTGTAGAAAATCCTTGATATTTATCCTCCGCTATAACTTTCATATTCGTATGACATTGATTATTTATAGGGAGACTAGGTGCTTCAAAATGACTTTTCTTTATCTTTTCTAAAGGTAATTCAGGCAAATCCATAAGAATCTTTTGTGCTCTCAACTGAGCTTCTTTTGATATATTTATATTTTTATTTGATGCCGTAGAAAATCCTTGATATTTATCCTCCGCTATAACTTTCATATTCGTATGACATTGATTATTTATAAGGGGACTCGGTGCTTCAAAATGACTTTTCTTTATTTTTTCTAAAGGTAATTCAGGCAAATCCATTAGTATCTTTTGTGCTCTTAACTGAGCTTCTTTTGATATATTTATATTTTTATTAGATGCTGTAGAAAATCCTTGATATTTATCCTTCGCTATAACTTTCATATTAGTATCACATTGATTGACTTTAGAAGGACTAGGTGCTTCAAAATTACTTTTCCTTATTTTTTCTAGAGGTAATTCAGGCAAATCCATTAGAATTTTTTGTGCTCTCAACTGAGCTTCTTTTGATATATTTATATTCTTATTTGATGCTGTAGAAAATCTTTGATGTTTATCCTCTGCTATAACTTTCACATTAGTATCACATTGATTGACTATAGAAGGACTTGGTACTTCAAAATTACTTTTATTTATCTTTTCTAAAGGTAATTCAGGCAAATCCATTAGAATTTTTTGTGCTCTCAACTGAGCTTCTTTTGATATATTTATATTTTTGTTAGATGCTGTAGAAAATCCTTGATATTTTTCCTCCGACATAATTGCCATATTAGTATCACATTGGTTGATTACATTTGTTTCAGATACTGCAAGATCGTCAAATATCCATTCACTGAATTGAATATTCTCTAACAACTGTACAGAGTTTTCCTCTTCAATATTCGTTTTTAAATTGAGTGATTTTAAAGTATCACTTTTCGAAATATTTCCTCTTTCAGCGTTTATATTTATATCACAGTTTTTTTGTGTTTTATAATTAATAAAAAACTCACAATCATCATTCCATTCATGTTCGCAATCTTCGAAAAGATTATCAGCAGTGTCCAAATTTTGTTTAACTATAAAAAAACACAATATTATATATGTTAATGTATATTGTTTTAAGCAAAGCATGAAACCAACCTGGGCTTAACTGATTTAAATTTTCACTGCTACCAGCTAAAAAATGAAAATTAATTATATGTATTAAACAGATATCAATCAACTTTAACTTACCTATGCCAAAGTAAATTTCTGTTTTGAGTTCATTATTTATATCACCGCCTCGTTCTTCAAATCCATTAAGATCTACAAATTCAAAAGATCGCGGATTATCTTCAATATGCTGTCGAATAATCTTAATTTCTTCCCATATACGCATTATTTCCATAGTCTTAGTATAGAAAGTACTTTCCAAAGGTGTTAAATAATTTTCTGCTTGCGTCGTTGTAGCTGTAGAATGTACTTCGCTCGGTATATTTGAATCTTGTCTACTTTCCAAAGGTGTTAAATAATTTTCTGCTTGCGTCGTTATAGCCGTGGAATGTACTTCATTAGGTATGTCTGAATTTTGTCTACCTCCTGAAGGTGTTAAATAATTTTCTGCTTGCGTCGTTATAGCCGTGGAAAGTACTTCACTCGGTATGTCTAAATCTTGTCTAGCTCCCAATGGTGTTAAATAATTTTCTGCTTGCGTCGTTGCAGGTGTGTTATTTACTTCAGTCGGTGTGTCTGAATCTTGTGTAAAGAACGTACTTAAATTTTGTAAATTCTCACATAATCTAAGTGAATTATTCATATTTATCGCATTAGCATTAATTGGCTGTAATGCTGGTTCCTCTTGTACTGACAAGTTAGAAGAAGCATTGCTTACGCCTTCATCAACATTATGTGGTGAAATTGAACGAACTAGAATTGCACTATTTTCATATTTATTATTTATATTTACAGAGACAGCTTCAATAGGTTCCAACGTTGACTGCTGCTTTTGTATGATCGAGCCAGAACAGTCATCGCGTACATCTTTACCAACATTATGTGGTCCAACTGAATGTACTAGCACTGCACTATAATCCCCAAGTTTTTGGGCTGAATTTCCTTTATTTACAAAGAGCGATTTTCGACTGTAGGTGCTGAAAGGTTTACGTTTATGTAGAAATGTTGGCGTTTTATCTATATTTTCATTTGTGGCACTGGATTGTGAATGTCTATTAGGTGGTGAACAAAAATCATCTAATATCAATTCAACGACAGATTTTTTTTTTGTTGAATTCGGTGATTGTACAGTTTGTTCACACAATGTTTGACTCTTATTAAGTTTTGAAACCACTTCCTCAACCTGCTCCCAACAAAATAATAGTTCCGTCTCTGTGATAACTGGTTCCTGTTTATTGAACTCATTTAAATTTTGATCTGTGGGTGGTGAAACGTTCACTTGTATATTATTTATTTCTGTACCTGAAATTTTATTATTATCTTTAAGTAATTCTTCAAGTTGATCTTTTGTTAACGTTTCTTCTTCTAGCAATTTGTTGCAATCTTTAAACTCTTGGTTGGCTGCATGTTTGAGTTTTTGGCTTTTCGGTTGCGCCTGCGCAGAGCATAAATGATCAGCAGCTGCTAAATCTTCCAAATCTTCGAATACGTTAAACTCCATTAAATTGAACTTTTGGTTTTTATTCGTTTCCGATAGATTTGTATCAAAATAAAGATTATTCAACAGCGAAGTTTCTCTTTCTGCTTTGCCTGTGCTGACACAAAATTCTTTTGATTCTGTTGTGGAAGTATTTGCGTCACCGTGCTCTTGGTGGCTCCTGTTTTGTCGTGCCAACCATTTTTTGTGCACCGATCTACGCTCCCTTTGAGGACTCGCACAAATACTTTCCTCTAACATTTATGATAACAACATTTACAAATTCGCAAACAATTCGCGCTGAAATTAATGCGAAACGTCAAAAGTGGTAGAGTTGCCAAAGTTCAGAAATCACAGTTAGGAGTTTACACTAATAAATATAAGGGTATTGAAGAATGTACGTGAAGTTAAATATATAAAAAATACAATCAAATATATTGTTTTCCATAAGATAGAACGGGTCAGCTGATTTCTTAAATCTCAAATTATGTATTTTTTAATTATTGTTTATTGGATTTACGTATTGAAAAAATAGTAAATAGATATTGTAAGACTGGAATTACAGTTGTAGTGAAACTTTTTATAATAACAAAACTTATTTTACTTTTTTAACCTTTCCCAATAATTGATTGGTGATTTTAAAAACATTTTTAATCTTATTTATATTAAAGTTGTACAGATTGTGTACTGTCATTATATACATAAAACAATAATAGTATAATAGTACATAAAATAATATATACTAGTTTAGTTTTTGGCGTTGACGATCTTTTGTTAGTCAAAATTGTCAAGAGAAGAAAAAACATGGAATACCTTTAAAATATATGAAATACTTTAATAAAACTAAGGCCGTGTGCGAGTTAAAGTAAATTGAGGTAAAATAAATTGAAATTTCCTAGGAATTTTTTGTACTGCACTAATGTAAATATTTATATATTGCACTTATAACTTTTGATTAAAAGTTTTTAAATATTATTTATTTTTTTAATAAAAATCTTATAATTTTTTCACAATGATAACACCTAATTTACTTAATTTTTATCTAAGTCACTATACGCGAAATTCTGGTAAATATCAACATTCCCTGCCATATCGACATAATATACTATTTCCCTCAATTTACCACCAACTTACTCAAACTCGCACATGGCCTAGACAGAAATTGTCAAATGCAACCCTTAAAAACAAATTTCCCACAAGGCATATCACCAAAAGTTGAAATATTTGTCATGTGCTTGATATGTTAAATGTAAATAAACAACAGCTGAGCTGCAAAGAAAGGCAATGAGGAAGTAAGTATATAATAAAATTTTTGTTTTTATTAGTTGATTATGTAATTGATATATAAAATGTATATGAATGATTTAATATATCATGTATTTATTTTTATTATGTGATATATTATTAAGTGAAGTTTGTAAAAGTTTATAAAGGTTCTATCAGCTGCATAAATGAGCTCATTATAATGTAAACGTTGGAAAATGTATTACCGCATATATGTCTGCAGACCAAAATTTGGTATGCATACTTGAATATAACAGTGCAATTTGTAGTTTTATATGCTTGCGTTTTTACGTTCTTGAGAATATATTATGTATAAATATATTATATATTCTTATATAAGGACATATAAAAAATTATTATATTTTTATTAATATTATCACTTATTGACAAGTTTATGTAATTTAATGTATAAATTTTATTTTATATTATATTAAATTTTATTCTAAAATAAAATAAAAAATATATGGAGTTAAATATTTTAGAGCAGATTGCTTTGAAATATTTTATTGTAAAAATTTTTAATTTTTCGAATATAAAAAATAATGTATATTTAGTTTAACCAAATAGTGTGTTATAAAATAAAATAAAAAATTTTTAGTGTTCTTTATTTTAATGCAGATTGCTTTGTAATATTTAATTGCATCAACTTCGAATTTTTCGAATATTTGACGTCCATTTTGATTTTGTGAAAAGCATTACATATTTTGCTGGGACGAAATAGTTTCTTTGGCTGCATTTTCTTGCTGTTCGCACGTATTCGTCAAAAATCCAATAATATAGTTTTTTGTGTTTGCGTTTTGCAAAAAATCATTAAAAAATTCTTAAAAACGTTATAAACAAAGTAAAATTAATTCCACTTAAGTAAATAAACAAAAGTAATATAATTTTAATCAATAAAAAAAAAACAAAAAGTGAAAGCAACTCCACAATTTTTACTTAACAAAGAAAAAAACGTTAAAGAAAAGCAAAAAAAAAAAAGAAAAATCGACATAAACGATTTTTTGCAAAACGAACACACGGACGGAGTATACGTTGTGATAAATCAGCAAATTAGCATAAGAAACCAAACAAACAAATCCTGGAATTCGGAGCATCTGTAAACAATATATTTTCCTGCAGTTTATATAATACTAAATATAAACTATACTTAAGCAATTAGAATAGTTCAGTTGCAGTCACCACGTTACACAAGCAAGTGCCGCCAATCATGTTTGTAAATTCAATGACGTTTCGCGGAAATCCAGCTGCCAATCATCACTATCAACAACAACATCCAACTATCAATCATCATGCTGCTTCACTTGCAGCTGCTGCAGGTCATCCGGCATTGTCTGCACACCACCCTCAGATGCATCACCATGCATCTGGCCAAGCCGCTGGTCCATTAAGCCATCACGGCTCGCATCCCGGTGCACATCAAGTGGGCAATAATAATCATCATCTCAACTCAAGTGGAATTAATCGTCATCCACATGCAGCTATGGGAGTTGGTAGTGGCAATATAACTTCTTTGTCACCAAATTTGGGTGGAAGTTCGGGTGGTAGTGGCGCCAGCACCAGTTCACCTGATAGTGGCAAAATTTACATTAAAAACTTGGAACGTTCAATTGACAACAAGGCAGTGTACGATACTTTTTCTGCATTTGGTAATATATTGAATTGTAATGTTGCCAAAGATGAAGACGGCAATTCCCGTGGCTATGGTTATGTGCATTTCGATTCCGAAGAAGCTGCACGCATTGCTATCGAAAAGGTTAATGGCATGCTGTGCAACAACCAAAAGGTTGTAGTTGTCAAGTTCATACCACGTCGTGATCGGGAACAGGAGAAGGCATCACAGTTCAGGAATTTGTATGTGAAAAATCTAAATGACGATTTTACAGAGCAGCATTTGCGGGAAATGTTTGAACCGTATGGGCGCATCACTAGCCATAAGGTAAGGAATATATCTATTATTTTGAAGAAAGATTAGTGTTTATATATTAAAGTTTTGCTGATATGCATATGACAATTTTTTTATATGAAGGAGTTTAACTCTTGTTTTATATCACATTTTTTTACGTTCCTAGTTTTTTCACTGAATTTTCTGTTTCCTGGCGTGACAGTCTGCGCATGTCCTCACTTGATTTACTTAGTTTCGATTGTAATTAAATGCTGTTTTCTTCATCCTTAGAATTTGCGGGGTGATTGTTTATAATGTTTCATAATTCATTAAGTTCGTTAGCTTTTAGAAAAACCTTGAACTATATTTTTACGTACTATTTTCAATATATAATTAACCTGATTTAAAAATTTTTTCCTAAGTGCTCTAACGGAAACGAATTTATTAAATATATACTGTTTAAATTATTACTAATTTAATTAAGAGCAAATCCAGATATTTTCATTAGCCTATTATCCAATGCTGGATAATATGAGTATTAAGATAATAATACAAATGATCTGAAAACAGCATCTATAAATTCTAATCTATATTGCAATTTTCTGTTGTTTTTTTTTTCACAGTAGGTGGAAGCATTGAAAACCACCGTGTGATACTTGAATCCACTAAACTACATCTTAGGAATGAATGAAGAAGATTTCCACAGCATTGTGAAAACTTCAGTCCAGTAATCAGGGGAGAGAGAAAAATAAATAGACTTAGTACCTAACGAGTTAGATTCATCTAAGTCAGAAAGCAAAGGCGTACTTTAGGGAAATTGGGTTATAGATCTGTTGTATGTTTTCATCTAGAGTTATAATATTACAGAAACTGTAACAATCGTATGAAAGTGTGTCTATATTGACATGTTTATTGTAGTTAAAAGTAGACGTGCTTTCCTAATTTTATGTGGTGAACGGCACGTTGTTATCTGTAAATTTGGGTAGTTCTGGGACGTAATTCAGACGCTTTTCAAACTCTATATTGTACATGTTATAATTAATGTTGCTGTTGTGGTCACAATAGATATCCAGCATTGTTAAACGTTATTGAGCAAACGAAACTTATTAATTTGCAAACACAATAACATTCGAGAAATAAGCTGATCCGCTTTTTCAATTTAAACTAGCCTCCAGGATGTAAAATAACTTAATGTTGTTTGTTCATAGAACAAATTAAACTTTATATAACTGTTTTTAGCTATTTTTGATAAAGTAAATGATATATAATTCGAAATTCTTATTTTTAAGAAATAATTTCTATTTCTTATTTTATACAAAAAATTGATTCTTTTTTATAGCTTAATTTAGTGATTAATAGCTTGAGTAAGGTCTTATCCACATAAACAATAGGTCTTGCTCTGTTTCGGAATTATAACTAATTTTCTGCTGTTGTACCTCGCTGGGACCTGCTTGTGAAGTCCCTTTGGGATGTGTTGAACGTCATTCATTCGTGACTGGCGACAAGTGGCTCCGGGACGTAAATCTGGCAGTTCTTGTCTGCATTATAGATTATAAGCATTTTATAGAAATATTGTATTAAGAAAAACAGTAGATGTATATTTATTAAATTAATTTTGTATGAGCAGTCATGCCGACGTCAAAAGTTCTTCCAATCAACTTTGTTGACTAATTCTCTAAACCACGGATAAGCTTCTTAGTTCTATGCTTGTAGCTTTACTTCTTAGACAGATCTTTCAAGCATTTTTGTAAAAATTTTTAAAAGTTTGTTTTTAAACCAGCCCTTGATAGGCTTTGAATCCGGATCCTATGTGTCATATTTCTAGTACATACGCACCATAGTAACAGGGCGTTCATATAGTTATTTTAAGACTGAATTTATGCTTATTGTGTGCGTTGGAATTTAAATCTATCCATGCTTTTCAGTAAGTGATTGACTTCCTGGATCCTTGGCTTACTAATCAATCCTCGGCTTCGCCCCAGGATTGTATTTATGCCCAATAAATTGTTTAAAAAACCAAATTTTATTTATATATTTTAAACGGTCTATTTGGTCATAGTCATAGTCTAGTCATGTTGAGATGACTATAGTCGTAGTCTAGTCATGTTGAGATGACTATAGTCGTAGTCTAGTCATCTTGAGATGACTATAGTCATAGTCTAGTCATCTTAAGATGACTATAATCATAGTCTAGTCATCTTAAGATGACTATAATCATAGTCTAGTCATCTTGAGATGACTATAATTATAGTCTAGTCATCTTAAGATGACTATAATCATAGTCTAGTCATCTTAAGATGACTATAATCATAGTCTAGTCATCTTAAGATGACTATAATCATAGTCTAGTCATCTTAAGACGACTATAATCATAGTCTAGTCATCTTAAGATGACTATAATCATAGTCTAGTCATCTTGAGATGACTATAATTATAGTCTAGTCATCTTAAGATGACTATAATCATAGTCTAGTCATCTTGAGATGACTATAATCATAGTCTAGTCATCTTGAGATGACTATAATCATAGTCTAGTCATCTTTAGATGAATATAAATTTTGTTGTTGTTGCCCGTGAGGATCTGTAAATCAGATAGTCGAAAGGAATGATATGACGAATACAGGGGTTAGGATATGGATTGGTTATTGTTGTTTGTAAAAGGATGGGATTGTTAGGGAGTAAAGATAAACTATAGATCGTCATCTTTATATTCCTAAGGTGATTATAGACTATAGATGGATATAGACAATGGTCAAAATATTGGTGACAATGAAATATATTTTTTTTTTAATAATAATTTATAAAATTATGTATTATTTAAACAATTGATCAATTAGCTTGTTTAAGAATATATTAAAAATATGTTTATTATATATTCTTATTCTTATTATATATAGTCTTTATATAAAGTAATTAAATATATACTGACAAAATATTTATACTGTCTATTACTTTTAGGTTATGCTTGATGAAGAGGGACGCTCCCGACGCTTTGGTTTTGTCGCTTTTGAAAGTCCACAGTCAGCTTTAGCTGCAGTTATTGGACTGAATGGCAAGCAGCTGGGAGACAATAAATTTTTGTATGTTGCACGTGCGCTAAACAAAATTGAACGTCAACAGGAAATCAATCGCAAGTTAGAAGAGCGTAAAAGGCAGAAGCCTGGTCAAGTCTTCTACTACTAAAATTATTATAATAGCCTGAAGCATTGGAAGCAGCGTATACGTTGCATTCAAAACAAAAATAAACAGGTTAAAATATATTATAATTAAAAATTATACCTTATAAAACACTACTCATACACGTAACTGCAAGAACGCTCCCAATACAGAAAGACACATAAGTTTGTAGAAATTTAAAATTTAAAATTTACACTATATATGCATAGTTTTTGAAATTAGATGTTCGTTTCGAGTTTTATTATACATAAAAGAAAATAAATGAAAAAGCAAGTTAATGAAAAATTGTATTGAACACATTTCCGTTAATATAAACATTTTAATTAATTATATAAAAATAAATTAGTAAGCACTAAATATGCTTTCGTAGGAAACAAAAATGGAAACATTAAGTAGATCTTAATGTATTATACATATTATATATATATATATAAATATTTATATATATCTTATAAAAAAATTTAGAACATCTATTACTTATAATATGCACCCTATATATAAACCCTTTATATAATCATAAAAATGCTTCGATGTTAAAAATTAATTAAATACATATAAAAAAAAAATTAAACACAAAAATTATTGCTAAATTTTGAAATTGAAATTGAATTTGATAAAAATGCAAAAAAAGAATTTTAAAAAATTATTAAAAACGCAAAAATGATAAAATTATATTGATTGGATTTTTAAATAAAGTAACTATTCAAATTTATTCTATAATTAAATAATTATTTAACTATTACTATATTACATATTAAGAAAAAATTACAAAAAACGTAAAATGTATGTATTGAAAAAAATAAATGAAATAAAATTAAATAAAGAAAAGAATAAAATACAAGGCAAATAAAAACAACAAAAAAAAACATTTAAATGCATACATGTAAATTGTTGCAAATTATGTTTACTGTAATTAAAGGAAAGAAAAATTCAAGATATGTATAAACAAAACAAAAACAAATGTCTCAAAGAAAATGTTGAAAAACAAAAACAAAAACAAAACAAAAGAAAAGAAAACAAACAAAAACAAAAGAAGAAAAACCGAAAACGTATGAAATTGTATTTAAAGGATTAAAGTATTAAATAAAGGAGAATCTCTTTTTATTTGAGCTTAAATTAAAATTAAAAAACACATAGAAAATTCCCAAAATTTTATTTTTAAGTTTTGATTTAGAAAGATATGTAGATAAAATAATTGAATGAAAAAAACTATGAAAATACATTATTTAAATATTAAGTGAAAATCGCGAAATGCAAATAAACAAAAATATTTTTACTAGATGCGACAAGAAACTCAAAATAAAACCTAAAAGCAAACAAACAAAATAAAAAAATTAAACAACAAAAACAAATATGGAATAATTTAATTTTTTAAGATGCAGCCGAATAATTTAACAATAAGTAAACTGAAAAAAAAAATGAAAACAAAATAAGAATATTATCTATTTACAAAAACAAAATTTCGAATAAGCAAAAAATTAAATAAATTTTTTATTGTATTATTTATAAAATAAAAGTAAAACAAAAACAAAAACAAATGAAATGAAAAAGAAAATAAAGCGAAGATACAGCAAATTAGGTACCTTTTTATAAATTATTAAATTTTATTTAATGTAAAACAAAACAAAAAAAAACAAAAATTTTAAAATATTTTATATGTACAAATAAGACTATTATGTTTTTATATTTATTTATATTTTATTTTATTTTAAAATAAGAAAGAATGCATATTTTAATGAATACAATTGTTTAATATTTAAATGACGTACACATACATCAACTAATAACGACGAGATCAAGAAACAAGCATTTTTCACAAAATAAAATCTGTGAAAGAATTTCTTAAATAACAAAAACAAAAAGAAAAACAAAAACAAAATGAAAAACAAAAACAAAAAATACATTCGAATTATATTTGCTTTGCATTTAATGCACAATAAAGAATGAATTATATACATACAAAGAAAATGTATTATTACATTATTAGAGACATGTTATAATAAAGACATAATAATTATGCAGTAAATATACATAATAGAAAATATAGAAAAAGAAAAACAGCCAAAAATATTTTCACTTTGCAAGACATGGAAAACAAACAAAAAAAAAACAGAAAAAAACAGAACGAAACAATTTCGTTAAATAAAATGAACACAAATGAAAAAAAAAAATCTAACACTTAAAATGACGAAATGAAATATAATTAATGATATATAACTAAAATACACATTGATGAGAGAAGTGCGAGATTTTTGTGTGCTATCTATCATATTGTATAACTATATACAGGTATATAAAAATACACGTACGCGTATATAATTCCATCAACTACCTACATACATACATATATACTTATTTGAAAAAAAGTAAATAAAATGCTTTTGCAAAAAGTGTTTGAAAAATTTGTTTTTAAATTAAAAAAAAAGAAAAAAATTCTGTTGTCATAATTCACTTAGCCCCATTGTGTTAACGCATAACAAAACTCAAAGGCTTAAAAATCACATTGAACCTCTAGAACCTCTAGCTTAAAATGCTTTTTATTGGGTGGTACTCAAAAGTAAAACGGCGATGCGCATGCACTAATCAAGAACAAAGCAGATCTGAGGCACTTACATCGTCCACTCCCCGAACGGATAGAAATGGAGATTTTATCCTTAAGCATGATTTCCTAATCATTTTGAGAATCCAGTAAGGACAACTACTGGCCCATTGTGTTAACGCATAAGAAACTCAAAAGCTTAAAAATCACATTGAACCCCTAGTAAAGCTTAAAATGCTTTTTATTGGGGGTCCTCAAAAGTAAAACGTCGATGCGCATGCGCAAAATAAGAACAAAACAGATCTGAGGCACTTTCATCGTCCTCTCCCCGAACAGAAACAAATTAGATTTTTATCCTTTAGCATGATTTCCTAATCGACTGTGACCAGTGAGCTACCCTACCACACGATTGATATCTTTACGGGACGTCTCATTGAGAATACTGGATTTTTTCTTAATAACACGGTCAATTTGCGTTGTCAGATGTCTACATATTTGTGAGTTTTCCTATATTTTATTACAGAAATTCAGCACAAAAAGATTTCAAAAAGAGTTTGTATGATATCAGTGATATGTTCAGATTTATTAGGTATTCCGAGTGAATATCTGAAGTACTTCGTCTGGTTAGAGCCGAAAATATCCTGCTTTGAAGTTGGCGAAAATATACTTATGCCCGGGAACCCAGAGTAGAGAAATGTTGAGCTGATTCGACATCACGTTTAGTAATATATAGCAATCAAGAAACGTTCTGGATGTAAAAACAGGGGTATTAAAACAGCTTGACTGTTTGGTAGTATGTATAAATTTCTAACAAGTATATTACCCACTTCCAGACAAGTTGTAATGATGATCTCAATGATGACTTCAACCTGAAAAACACTGAAATAATTAGGAATATTAAGTATAATTATTGTAGTAAGTAAATTTAATAAGCATCATTTCAGAAAGAGAAGAAGAGAAAAAGTTATATATCATGTGAGTATGGAAGATGATCGCATTTGTTAAGTTTTTTAAGGAAAACTTTTGCACAATGACAGTTTTGTGTTTTGACTTTTAAGTGAAAAGTAAAAAGTATTTTTAAGTTTGCTCTTAATTAACAGATGCCACTATAATCTTGAAATTAATTGCAAACTAAGTTTCTTACAAAAATTTATTCATACGATGAGTTTTAAGTAAAATTCTTTAAAGATTGTTTATGTGAGCGTAAAGTCGATTAAATTACCTTAAATCAAATTTTAAGACTTTCAAAACGAATTAAATTTTTCAAATATTGTTTATTTAACATTTTATACTTTTAAAAATTTATTTTCTCATGTTTTAATAAAATCCTAATATTTTTTTAATCAGGGGATCAAACTTTCATGACTTCGATCTTGATTCCAAGTATACAGCGTTATATAAAATTATATTTAGCATTCTATCTCATGGTTTGTGATACTTATATTTGAATGGAAACAACTTAGATGAGAATTCTAATTTCATGGAAAAATATTAGTTCCATGGGTATTTTATATACAATATAAATAAGTTAAAAGTATTGCCCATGAATGAATTAATTAATAAATTATATATCAATTATTAATAAAACACTTCTTTCATAATAGATTTATCGTATTCCACAGCCACATAACCATTACTACAAAATTTCACGCATTCACTGTAAACGAAATCCAGTCAAAATTTCAGACTTTTATAAACTTCTGACTATAAAAGCTTCTTTTATAGTTGCATCTGTTTAAAAAAAAATTTTAAAAACTGATTTGTGGATTTGAAAATATTCAATTGCTACAACAGAACTAATACAAAAATACTTATGTGGCTGAATACGCTACGTTATTAAAATATCAAATAGCAATTTTGTTTTACAGGAACTACTGAGGAATCCACAAAATGTTAGATACACTGGTGCACCAGTCATCACTTGCTGGAGAATAATGGAACGCGAATTAAGAGATGCAAATTTTTGACACTCTATCCTTTCATGTTTAACAGAACTCTATTTTAGTTGATAATGAAATAGATACATGTACTTTATAAATCTATGAGAACAAAGTTACATATATTATAACACATCTTAAATTTGAAAAAAAGGCATTAAATTTATTTAAACTTTTTATATTATGCAAATGATCTTATATAAATGTGTTTAAAATTATAATTATAAATATAATCAATTATATTATAATTATCATGAATATTAAGAATTCTATTGATGAAATAAAAGTTAGAATCCTAAAAAAACAAAATCGACATTGTCAACTTATATGTGCTCAAGTGTTTTAATTTAAAACTAATTTTATTGTCGCTGACACCTCAATTTAAATTCCTTTTTCAAAACTGTTATAATTTTTAAATTATTGGCATGAAAAACACGACCTGGCAACACTGCATAATTTCCATTTGATGTTACTTAGTAGTAACTGTAACCTGATCGTGATTGTTCCTCGCTTTTTGAAATAAAGTAAAATAATAATTATTGATAAAATAATGTGTAAAAAAAATTAATTAAAGTGTAAATAAAAATATTTTTATTG